CACACAGGGAAGGACATGTAAACACTCATTCTCTCTCTCTCACACACACACAGGCCCAAGGTTCACAGACACACAGACATGGATCCAATTTCCAAACGTTCCTAGACTCAGAAATACGTATCCCAGCACACAGGAGGAGAAATCATGTCAGGAACGATCTACAAACCAATGAATGCCAAGAAACACCCAGGGCTACCAACAAGGAAGGACTCCCCTCGTGCCAGCACCTTGATTTGGACTGGTCACCTCCCAAACCGGGAAACTATACGTTTCTGGTTTGTGCACGAGGTAACCAAAATGAGGAGCCTTGTACAAAAGGTTCGGCTGCCCAACATCCAGGTGGAAGAAAATGGTGGAGGGAGTTAGGTGGGAGTGAATGTGGGTGGGGTGGACTCCAACCTGTCAATCAGGCCTGATGATGCCTCACTTGGGGTGTGGCCTTCTGATAAGGAAGAAACTGGGAATTCCCTCCTCTCTCTCTCTCTCTGACATATTGCCTTCCTGCTTGCTGAGACTCTGCCTGCCCCACAGACCCTGAGCTGTCAGCACCCCGCCACGTTTCTACCAACTGTGGATTCACTAGAGTCTGCACCCCACAGGCCTGTGGTCTTCCTGCATACCCCTTCACCTTTCAGCAGCTGCTTGAGTCTAAAGAGGACTCTGACTTAGGGACTTGGATTAGTTTGGGCCGAGATGCCTTCTTGATTTAAGATCACTTCTTGATATAAAGCACTTTCTTTTTTTTTAAATGACAAAAACCTTTATTTGAAAGTGAAGGCTATTGATTGGCTTTTGCTTCAGGAACCAGAGAAATTGTCTTGATGTTTCTGTTTGTAGTTATTGTAATTTTATAAATTGGTTTTTTTTAATCATTTTATTGGAGGCTCATACAACTTTTATCACAATCCATCCATCCATCGTGTCAAGCACATTTGTACTTATGTTGCCATCATCATTCTCAAAACATTTTCTTTCTACTTGAGCCCTTGGTATCAGCACCTCATTTCCCCCCCTCCCTCCCCTACCCTCCCTCCCTCATGAACCCTTGATAATTTATAAATTATTATTATTTTTTCATGTCTTACACTGACCATTGTCTCCCTTCACCCACTTTTCTGTTGTCCGTCCTCCTGGGAGGGGTTTATATGTAGATCATTGTCATCAGTTCCCCCCTTTCCCCCCACCTTCCCCTTCCCCTCCTGGTATCACTACTCTCGTGATTGGTCCCGAGGGGTTTATCTGTCCTGGATTCCTTGTTTTGCGAGCTCTTGTCTGTACCTGGGTACATGCTCTGGTCTAGCTGGATTTGTAAGGTAGTACTGGTGTCATGATAGTTGGGGGTAGGGGAGGAAGCATTAAAGAACTAGAGGAAAGTTGTGCTATACTGCACCCTGCCTGGCTCGTCTCTTCCTTGTGACCCTTCTGAAAGTGGATGTCCAATTGACTACTGATGAGCGTTGGGTCTCCACTCTTTCCTCTCCCTCATTCTCATTGATACGGGTTTTTCTGTTTTGTTTTGGGCCTTTGATGCCTGATACCTGATCCCATCAACACCTGATGATCACACAGGCTGGTGTGCTTCTTCCAGGTGGGCTTGCTGCTTCTCAGCTAGATGACCGCCTGTTTACCTTCAAGTCTTTAAGACCCCAGATGCTATATCTTTTGATCGACAGGCACCATCAGCATAAAGCACTTTCATACACATAGATGAGTGTCACTGATCTGGTTTCTCTCGACAACCCTGCCTAACGCGGTGGGTGAGACAGAGAAGCAGAACAGTGAGGGGAGGAGCCCATGGGTGAAGGGGGAGGCAAAGTCTCTCTTTCTCTCACATAATAAAGATGTAAAGACAAAAAGACAAAACCATAAGATACCAGGAACGATTGATTTGATCTCCAGTGGTTGTTTTTAATACTTAAGGTGCAAGGATGAGGATATTAGATGAGAAGAGTCCTCACAGGTGCTGGAGGCCAGAGAACGTGGATAGAAACCCACTTCCAACGGAGATCATGTGCTGCCCTGCCAAGGTCCAGCCCAGCTGCTGCTGGTAAGTGTCATCCAGTCCTTTCCAACCCAGAGCGACCCCATGCACAACAGAACAAGACGCTGCCTGGTCCGCCACCACCCTCACAATGGTTCCTGCGCTTGAGCCTGTCGATGCCGCCGCTGCGCCCGTCCATCTCGTCGAAGGCCTCCCTCTTTTTCACCGTCCCTCCAGTGACCAAGCACCATGGCCTCCAGGGACGGGTCTCTCCTGACAACATGCTGTAAAACGAAGTCTCGTCATTCTTGCCTCTAAGGAGCAGTCTGGCCGTACTTCTTCCAAGACAGACCTGTTTGTTCTTTCGGTAGTCCAGGGTATTGCCGATATTCTTCTCCACAGCCGTCGGCCAAAGGCATCAAGCCTCTTCCAGAAAAGTCCCATGCACCGATTCTTCTTCAAGGACAGCCCTGGCTTACCTTGCTTCTCTCGGCATCATTGATAAAGAATTGTCACTCATACTTTCTTTTTAAATTTTTTTAATCACTTTATTGGGGACTCTTACAGCTCTTAGAACATTCCATACATCAATTGTATCAAGCGTATCTGTACATAGGTTGCCATCATCATTTCCAAAACAATTTCCACTTGAGCCCTTGGTATCAGCTCCTCTTTTTTGCCCTCCCTCCCACCTTCATGAGTCCTTGATCAATTATATATTGTTATTATTATCTTGTATCTTACACCGCCCCTTGTCTCCCTTCACCCACGTCTGTTGTTCGTTCCCTTGGGGGGGGGGGCTATATAGCCAACCTTGTGATGTGTTCCCCCTTTCTCCCCCTCCCCCCTCCCTGACTATCCCCCTCTAGTTCCTGAATGCCTCCTCTCCCCTTTCCCACTACCATGACCCAGTTCGACCTTCCAAATCCAGCTAGACCAGGGAACATACAGATGAGGAGCTCTGGGCACATGGAATTCAGGACAGACCAACCCTCAGGAACAGCAGTGGGAGCAGTGGCCCACCAGTCCTTTCAAGCGGGGTCTGGTCATTGATGCGCGGTAAGATGCCATCAGTTTACCCTGTGCGAAGCAGAAGGAAACACTGCCCGGTCCTCCAATGGTGCTGGCAGGGTAGGGACAGTCAGTCATCCAGTCATTAGCAACCGGGCAAAATGGCAAAGCCCAGCCCTGCCACAGCCCAGAGTGCCTGGGTGAAGACTTGCAGGCATTCGGAGCTGAGACCAGGAGGAGCAGGTGCACGTGTTGGTTGAACGGATCTTTACTGAACATCATGGCGTCAGGGGAATGTGTCCAGACACTGTGGGGCACATCGGGGACCAAGACCCAGAGCCCTGTTCTCCGGGAGCTTAGCGTCCTGTGGAGTCAAACAACGGGGAGCGAGATGGGAGGAGACAGGGGTGGGTGCCGTACAATGGTGGGCTGCCTGAGGGAAGGAGCAGGAGGGGGACTTAAGGAAAGATTTGCAGGTGAGAGGAGAACAGAGTATTGCAGGCGATAGGAATGGGCAGGTGCAAGTGTCCTGAGGCAGCAGAGACATTAAAAACAGACCCTCAGAAACCTGCACCGACCAAGAGAGGGATATATGGGGAGTCCTGGAACGGCCGTCTGCTTTCCCAAGTTTAGGCTTCTCACATCGCGCCGTGAGTCATTCAGACAGCGACGTTGCAGGACCTCCTGGCTCACTTTCTCAGATGGCCACCTCCCGATGGCCAGGGCTCGGGTTTGCTGGTCAAAACCCTGCCGTCGAAGGACGTCATCATTGCAAGAACTCAAGAGGCGTTCGACTCACATCAGAACCGACGTCCGTCGGAACAGACCCCCTTGCCGGTCAGGGACTCCCTGGGTCAGGCTGCAGACACCAGAGATGACAATGACCGCCCTCCCCCCACCCCAATCTGCCGCCAAAAAGAAATACCACCAAACCAAAAAGAGAACCCACTGCCAATGAGTGAGTTCATGCTGACTCACTGACCCAACAGGACAGAGCAAAACTGTCCCCAAAGGGTTCTCAAGGCAGTGCCCATTACGGGAGCGGGCCGCCACGCCTTCTTATCTTCCCCTCTGGGAACAGCCGGTGGGTTTCAATGGCTAACCTTCTGTTAGAGCACCTTAACTGCTGCGCCACCAGCAGTGCCGTAGGAAAAGCGCAGGGCTGCGAAAGCACGAGGTCTGCGGTTCAGAACCGCAAGCAACCTCCCGAGAGCAAGAAGAGGCTGCCTGCTCCCCCTACAGATGTACAGTCTCGGAAACCCTGGGCCGGGATGCGCTGAGCTAGAAGCAGCTAATGGCTGTAGCTTTGCTGTTGCTTGTTATGGATCAGCTTCTTTGGGGCAGAGGCAGTCGGCTTCCGTGAAGATGGACAGCCTTGGGAACACTAGGGGTCTCTGGGTAGGACCCCCCTAGAAGGCGGTGAGTGGGTGGTGAGTCTGAGCTCTCCCTGTATTGGCTGCTTTGGCCGCTCCTCTTGTGTGCAGAAGAGGAGAGAGGCACGGAGACAGTTGGATGCCATTGGGTGGACCTGTACGCGCAGTGGCTCTGTGGGGACAGAATCGTGCTCTGGGGTTTGTGAGACTGTAAGTCTTTATGGACGACCACATCCTTCTCCTGCAGAGCGGCTGGTGTGTTAGAACCACAGACCCGCATGGGTGAGCAGCGGAGGGCTTGACCACCGAGCTTCCAGAGCTCCTGAGAACAGCCAAACCCAGCCTCAACACACCACCAACTCACAGCGACCCTGCAGGCCAGAGTAGAACTGGCCCCTGTGGGCGTCCAAGAGGGTAACTCTTTGCTGTAGCAGAGAGCCTCATCTTTCTCCTGCCTAAGAAAGACAGGTGGCAAATAAGCAGAGGAAAGAAAGAACGAGAGAGAGAGACAAATAAGCAGAGAAAAGAAATGAAAAAGAAAACAAAAGTAGAGAAGACCTCAGGATGTGGGACCCATTTCCCTGCCCAAGCCTGCCAGGCCAGGGGCGAGGTGGGACCCCACTGGCATCTCCTCCTCAGTCTGCTGCGTTTCCACCCCCCTCGCCCCCGCACACCGCCTCCTCCCCAGCCCCCTCCTGCTCTCTCCAGGGCCGCCCCAGGTAGCCCCTGACCGAGCTCACGGGCTGCCTCTTTCGCGGGTGCGGGTCCAGCAGCCCCCAGAGCAGGGCATCAGCCACGGGCGTCAGGCCGAACCAGGGCTGCGGCCGGTCCTGGGGCTCGCCCGAGGCCTGCCAGCTGAGGAAGTCCCCGTAGAAGGGGTCGGCCTCCTCCAGGGGCTGGTCCCAGGGGAAGTAGCCCGTCAGGAGGCAGAAGAGCAGGACGCCCAGGGCCCAGGCGTCCAGGGCCGGCTGGATGGGCAGGCCCGCCGGGAGGGGCGGCGGGGCGCAGAGCTCGGGCGCCGTGTAGGGGATGGGCGGCCCCGCCAGGCGCAGCAGGGTCCCTCGGGGCCGCGTGTGGCCGAAGTCGGTCAGCTTGACGCGTTGGCAGGCGGGGTCGCACACCAGCACGTTCTCCGGCTTCAGGTCCCGGTACACCAGGCCGCGCGCGTGGACGTGCCCCAGGGCCGAGGCCAGCTGCGCCGCGCAGCGCTGGGCGGCCGCCTGCGGGAGGCCCACCTGCAGGAGGGGGCCGCGGGGGGGGGTCCCTGAGCCCCTGCACCCCGCGGAGCCGGTCCGGGCTGGATCCCACCCCCACGGCGACCCGGAGTGGATCCTGCCGGGATCAGGTTCAGAACGCCCCCCTGGGACGCGGTAGGGTGTCCACGGGACCAGGCTGTCACCTCTTCTTCTCCGGGGAGGAGCTAGTGAGTTCGAACTGCCAACCTTCTGGCTGACGGGTTGGGACCACGGGGACGCTGGCTGCAATGAGGTCCGCTCGGCTTGGCCGAGGCCCCCGAGGGACAGCGGGTGGATGACAGGCAGTTGGGAACCTGTGAGGACCAGCGCCCCCTAGTGGGGCCGAGTGGGAGCCAGTGAGGCCCAGAGCCCCCCCCAAAGGAGCTCAGCGGGAAACTGAGGCCCGGCATAGCCCCCCCTCAGTGGAGCCAGGTGGGTGCACCCTAGGGGGGGACCTATTGGGATCCTGTGAGGCTCACGCCCCTCTGTGGGGCCCAGGGGACACCTGAGGCCCAATGTACCCCTAAGGAACCCCAAAGTTCCTAGACCAGGCCCTGCTGGTCTCAGCAGGTAGGTAGAGTCCACTCAGTGAACTCCAAGGAGACCTAAGTTTTCAGTGAGGGCTTTGAGGCCCAGTGAGCCCTCTCCAGGGTCTAAGTGAGGCCCACAGCCAGAAAATTAATTAGATCAATCAATAAATAAACCATACTCAAGTGGATGGTGGTGATGATTGTACAACTCTTAATGAGCTCGAACTATTGAATTATAGGAGTTGTGAATTCTGTGCTCGTAAAAGCTGTTTTAAAATAAACTGTTGCCCCTGAGTTGACTACGTGCCCCACTGCTAACTACAACATTGGCAGTTCCAACCCACCCGCTGCTCTGCGGGAGAGCTCTGTAAAGATGGCCGCCTTGGAAATCAAAAGCCGGTGCCGCAGTTCTACTCTGTCCCATGGGGGTCTCTCTGAGAATGAAGCGACCTGGTGGTGATGGGAACGTTCACGGACACGGGTCACCAAGCCTCTCTTCCGTGGCACCTGCAGGCTGGGCTTGAACCTTCCGCCCCAGTAGTCCAGCACACACCATTTGCTCTACCCGACAGGGAGGGCTTCCGTGAGGGACAACTAACCCACCTTGGGCTGGATGAAGGCGATGAGGTCGCCATGCAGAATGGGCTCCGTCAGGAAGCTATAGGAGTCAGCCGACTCGATGCCGATGCCGTAGGAGGCCACGATAGCCGAATGCGTGCCCAGTGAGAGGCCCACGCAGAACTCGTACAGGAAGCCGCGGAGGGAGGTGGAGGCCTTCGGGAGTTGCTTGAGTGCCATGGGTGTGCCTGTGGGAGGACAAAGGGGCCACAGGAGCCAGTGTTAGGTATTAAACCGTGGTCCCTAAATAGATTGAAATCCTATCCCACACACACCCTGCTATCGATTGGATCTACCAAAACCATGTACCCTTATCCCTATAGACAGGAGTCCCTAAGCACTTGACCATGAGCTGAAAGGTTAATGGTTCCAACCTACCAGAGGAGCCCCGGAAGAAAGGTCTGGCGACCTGCTTCTGAAAGTTCACAGCCCTGCAAACCCCGCAGAGCACAGTGCTGTTGCACACACAAGGGGTCACCCTCAGTTGGAATGGACTTAGAGGCCACCAGCAACCCGTAGTCACCCTATGGAGGGATCTCAAGTCTATCCACCTTGACCAGAGGAGACAGTCTCATTTTCCTTCCTTGGAGCCAAGGGTGTATTTGAACTGCTGACCTGGCAGTGAGCAGCCCAATCCCTAACCCACAGTGCCACCAGGGGTCCTTTCATAGGTGATGGTGTCGTGTAAATGTGACTTTCCAATGCAGCAGGAAACCAAACAATTCGCGTGGCTCACCTTAGGATAGACCCTCAACCGTGGTGGTCTGAAACCAAGAATGAAATCGTTCCGGGGTCTGCTTTTACACACCGAGTTGTGGGGACACACACACACACACACACACACACACACACGCATGCGGAGGCATCGACTCAAGGACACCCGGTTAGGTTTTTGTGTCTGGTTTCTGAGAAGGTTGGAGGATGAGCATAAGCTTGGCCAAAAAGTACCAGAGGAGAAGGAATCCTGTGGGTTGAATTGCACCGCCCCCCTCCGCCCTCCAAATCCATGTCTTAGTTCTAATGCCTAGTCTCTGTGGATGTGACTTTGTTTAGAAATAGGATCTTAAGAGATTTTAATTACTTAACATGAGACCATACTGGAGTAGAAGGAGCCCTGGTGG